TCTGTGTGTGATGACTACTTCCATTCTGGAGAGGATCACAAATACATGGATCCTGATTATTGAAGATCAAGCCGGGGACCAGTGATATATTTCTAACACTCGTTCAGCTGCGAGTGTCACTACAGACGGAGGGGAGAGGGTAGGGTGTGGTTTGGAATAGGGCCTAAGTATCAGCTGTGTATCGTACCTGGACTGCATGTCTGCGGTCCGGCTGCTGGAGGCTGAGGAGCTGCTGCTCTGCTGGCTGAGCTCCACCAGAGACTGGAAGTACTGCTGCTGCTGCTGCTGCTGCTGCTTGTAGCGCGACAGGATGAAGAAGAGGCCCAGGATGCTCTTCAGGTTGCCATTACGGATCTCTGGAGGGGACAAAACAGAAGGACAATCTGAGAATATAGAGGGTACTGTGGTGTTACAGTGCTGTGAAGGGATCCTGTCCCTGTGGCTTCCATCCTCATTTCTCTATCAAGCCTTAAAACAGAAATGTTTTGCTCGTTTTCTTTCCTTTATATTTGTGTTGCTTACAGTTGATGAGTTGCTAGGCCTCCGATGGTTTGGATGATATTATGCAATGGGTTTGCTCCAAATAAAACAACAAACTTCTACACATGCAACAAAGAAAAGAGGCCTTCACCATAGTCAAAACAAAGAGGCAAAACTCAAATAAAATAACAAATAACTTAGGTATTCTTTCTTGCTTTCTTTCTTTGTTAAGGCTTATATAACTTGATCACTTAAAGGGTAATTGAACGGTTAAAACCTGCCTCGACGGCGTCTTTCCTACAGGTTGCTGCCCATCACTGTCACTTTAGAGGAGGCGCCCTGGGAATTGTAGTCTTTTATAATATGACTACAGACGTCACGATTAGGTGGCCTTTCTTTTAAAAGCAAAATACTGGCTCTAACAGATCCTGTCCTTCCTACATCCAGGACGACCCAGATACCCCTCAATAAAATCACGCCTCTTTGTTATCCTGGATGAAAAGTTGTGGAAGAAACTGTCCATTGATATCAGGAGAGCGAGAAGTCTACACATCTTCTTCCAAAAAATGAAAATCCACCTGTTTCCACTGCACTTAGGCCATGAAAATGACCAAAAAAACATATTAAAATTAGCACTTAAGAAGTTTGGCCCACATGAAACGAATGCACCAGCACTAACAATGGTTTGTCTTATTTGAATTCGAATACATCTGGATTTTTCTTGTTGTTCTGAGTTTTAATCTTTATGGTTTATTCCACTTTTTAAGTCGCTTAATTGGATAAAGTCATCAGCTAAATAAAATGTAATGTAACGTAATGCTCCACCATCTTTTAAACTCATCCACCTGCATCTACCCTCCTGTAAAACAACACCTTTCCTTTAAATAAAGCCACTATTGCAATTGAAAATACTCCAATTCTAGTTTTCCATTCGTCAAGAACAAATGTCATGTGGCGCTAAAAAAATAAAATAATCTCCAGACCATTCATTGTATCTTTCCAACACTGTAAAGTAAACATATGTTTTTCAAAGAAGACTCTTGGGGACAGAGCAGCTGTTTTATAAGAGTTTTTATACACTGTCTCTAACAGCAGGAGATATTAATGTACTGTATATAATACTCAGTTATAGCATTGTATTCAGCATGAGGGAACATTTCTAATTTAGTCACAGCTCTCAGGAAGAAGTTGTAAAATCTAAAATGTCTAATAAACACACAGCTGGTTCAGAAAGGAGTGAAGGTCAGCATGAGAACTGGAACGCTGTTCAAAAATTATACAACACCATTTCCCAGGAAACTGATGGAGGAATTGATGTGTGGTATAGAGGTGGAATAACAACTACAAGGAAATCATTAGAACAAAAATAGGAGCAAAATAAAAAAATTAATCAAAAGTATTTTGTGGCCAGTCGTCAAATTCTTCTAAAATTCTTCTACGATATTGAGCGTTTTTACACTGTTGTGTAACCTTGTCGTATTAGTGTTTGCCAAACCAGCACCAATAAGGACATATTCTGCTGATGTTCAGGTGTATATCAGTATGTAGTGTCTCTACTTTAAAGAGTCCTCTCCTGCTGATGTTCAGGTGTATATCAGTATGTAGTGTATCTACTTTAAAGAGTCCTCTCCTGCTGATGTTCAGGTGTATATCAGTATGTAGTGTCTCTACTTTAAAGAGTCCTCTCCTGCTGATGTTCAGGTGTATATCAGTATGTAGTGTCTCTACTTTAAAGAGTCCTCTCCTGCTGATGTTCAGGTGTATATCAGTATGTAGTGTCTCTACTTTAAAGAGTCCTCTCCTGCTGATGTTCAGGTGTATATCAGTATGTAGTGTCTCTACTTTAAAGAGTCCTCTCCTGCTGATGTTCAGGTGTATATCAGTATGTAGTGTCTCTACTTTAAAGAGTCCTCTCCTGCTGATGTTCAGGTGTATATCAGTATGTAGTGTCTCTACTGGGACATGTCTCCATGCTTTAATGTTCAAAAAGCTCTTTATTATTCTCATACTGCCTGTGCTGCAGCACCTCTTTTCACCCTCTGTCTGAAACCAGAGCCCAGTCTGCTCTGATTGGTTAGCTGGCCGGCTCTGTTGTGATTGTGTGAACCTCTTATGGCGCAGTTCCACTGCAGCGCGGACCTCGCTTTAAGCGTGCCGTGTCGTGCCGTCCCCTTTTTTGGTTGTGCTTCCACTAGGCCTAGTTCCGGCGCGGCACGGCGCGGGGCCACTTTTTCACCTCTTTTCTGGCCCTAGAAAATTGTGGTTCTATCGGGGCCAACAAACAGGGCTGAGTCGGGCTGAGTATGCTAAACTAGAGAGAGGAGCGCTGGCAAGAGGGCTAGAACTACAACACAATGAACATATTTGACCGTGATTTAATTGTAATACACGTTTCAAAATGATGCCGAAGTAACAACATACTGATACCGGTTAGTAAAAACCATGAATTAATGCTTTGTCAAGTCTGCAGACAGACGGCAGGCGAAACACCTTTTAAAATGCGTGTTTTCTAAATGGAGATCGGCTAAGCTAACGCAGTATATGCTCCGACCGTCCACACTCACAACAACGGCCTATACAGACATAAATAAAGCAGCGACTGTATTCACCATGACACAGGCAGTCTGTGGTGTGTACTTGTTTAACTTTTGTCGAGTTTCTGAACATATATAAGGAGCTGTGAGCTCTGAGTGCTAACAGCTAACGGCTGTGTTGTGTTTCTGGAGTTCTCATTGAAGATGACGTCACGGCTCCGCCTACGCTGCGTTACTATAGTAACTACCCCAGTTCCTAAACTGTAATGGAAGCGCAGCATGAAGTGAGTCGGCCCTGTTAAGGCCCAACGCGGCCAAGCCGTACCGAGCCGTACCGAGTGTGGCCGAGGCCGACCGTGTAGTGGAAATGCGCCATTAGAGATGTCCCGCCCCTTAGCCAATCACGTACAATGTGTTGGAGCTCTAGCCAATAGCATACAATGGAAATATGTAAGTAAAGATACAATCAATCACCAAGGGGAAGTGTGAGCGACCGAACAATAAATGATAAAAAATTGAATTATTAATAATATGAATATGATCTTTCCCTAATTGTTCCTCATACATACATATATCATCTTTCTTTCTTTACAGTCAAAGAAACAGCAGCCCTAGCAGATAAAGTTACCTTTTCAATATGCTGAGCGTGCAACCGTAATAACAAAACTCCCGATCAATGAGTAACTTCATCTGATCCTCCACAGTTCATCTCTGACAAAACTCAACAAATGCCTCTCTCTCTCTCTCTCTCTCTCTGCTTCACACCAGATGTGATTCAGCAGTCTGAGGCGGAGGAATTGATCACTGTGGCTAACGCACCCATTTGTGAAATTGACTTTTCAGATCAAACTCTCCGGGGGGGTGGGGGGGGGGAGCTGGTACACAGCGGCTGACTCAGGGCTTTTTACTCCATTATTCAATTTGGTGAGGCACAAACAGTCTCCCCCAGACATCCATGAGTACACTGCGCTGTTTCTGAGACTGTGAAAGTGGGGAGAAGATTAATCTCTTGGGGGTGTTTTCCATTTTCTAAACACCCAGAGCCTACTGGGCCTCAGAGAGTCAGAACAGCAGCTTTCTTTCTGTGCTTCAGAGAGACTTTGTAGCCCCTGCTGTGGTTTGAAACTGATGGCAGACGGTTAAAGTAATAGAAAATGATGATTAGGAATAATAATACTTCATCCCAGAAGAGAAGACGCCCTCGAGGTCACGGTCAGACACATTTGTAACTTTAGAACGATGTAGGCTTGCATTAAAAATACCATAACTGTACCACAACTTCTTCTAACATCACTCGATCCACAACCTTCGGTTGCCCTCCAAACCATTTTTTTGAAAAGTTATTGCAAATGACATGTGTGGTATGTGTAACTGTGGTATGAGAGCATCAGTATAACTTTCCTTGTACAGTTATAGAACATTGCTAAAGCTCCTATTAGCCTATAGCAAGGGTGTCCAAACTACTGCCTGTTGTCCATTTTTATCGGCCCTCAGCTAATTCTAAAAGTAAATTGAAGTATGGCCCACACCTGAAACTTATGCTTGTCTTACTGTATATTTTACTTCTTCAATACATATGTACAAATATATTACACAGTAGTATTCACGTGTTAATAAGCAATCTTAGTTTATAGAAAAGCACTTATTTCCATACCAAGCTTGAAATAGACCCTTCATATTTCCCCTTATTATACTCAATCTGAGGCTTTTGTAGAAATCTTTTCTTTTCTTAAAGCATTTTCAAGTATCAAGCATAATTGACCCACATCTGATTGATTTTGCTAACTTATAATTTAACTTATTAGGCAATACACCTCTATAGTGAGGGGCCCAGACCTTCGTATGTTTTTCTGTATGTGACCCTGGCCTATAGCTTTTCCAAAAGTATAATTGTCATCCCACTGAAAGCAGGAGGCCTCTGTCACTTCTGAGCAGTGTTGACAACACGTCTACGTCAAGTCTCTTTCTTATTATTGAAATATACAAATATCTAAAGTTACGTCCAAAGTTTAAGGAGTCATTTATTCTATTTACAATATACATCCTTCCGATTGGTGATATCATCCACAGCCATGGTCTCTGTTTCCACTCCTACGCCGACGACACCCAACTGTACATCAGCACAAAACCCTCTGCCCATCTCCCCCCTCAGTCACTAATCAACTGCCTACACGAAATTAAAACCTGGATGACCTCCAACCTACTCAAACTAAACAGTGATCAAACTGAGCTCATGGTTGTGGCCCCCAAGGCACTGCTCGGGAAGGTTGGAGATCTGCTCCTCAACATCGACGGTTCCATCATCTCCCCATCCCCTCAGGTCCGCAACCTTGGCGTTGTCTTGGATTCAACCCTCTCATTTCAAAACCAAATCAAGTCGGTTTCAAAAACAGCCTTCTTCCACCTCAGAAACATATCCAGACTCCGGCCATCACTCTCCGACTCTGGTGCAGAGAAGCTAATTCATTGTTTTATTACCTCACGCCTGGACTATTGTAACGGACTCCTGTCCGGGGTTCCCAGCAAAACCCTGGACAGGCTCCAGTATATACAGAACTCAGCTGCCAGGGTTCTCACACGCACCAAGCCCTGGCTGCACATCACCCCCACTCTCTTCAACCTCCACTTGCTCCCGGTCAAGTCCCGCATCACTTACAAACTCCTCCTCCTCACCTACAAGTCCCTCCATGCCCTCTCCCCTCAGTACCTCACAGATCTCCTCCACCCTTACATCCCGTCCCGCGCCCTTCGATCCTCAGACTCCGGCCTGCTCTCCATTCCACCTTCACGCCTCCGCACCTTTGGGGACTGTGCCTTCAGTGTCGCTGCCCCCACCCTCTGGTACTCCCTCCCTGCAAAAATCCGCAACGCCCCTTCTCTCAACATCTTCAAATCAACCCTGAAAACTCATCTGTCCAACAAAGCCTTCCAACAATAACTCAGTCTCCCCCCCACTGCAATGTTGCACTTCCACTTCTGCCTGGACCTTGAGGTTATGAAAGGCGCTATATCAATTCAAGTTATTATTATTATTATTATTTAACAACATGATTTTCAGGAGACTTCACGTTACAGCTTCTCACCGGAGAGAGGTTATTACAGTAAGGTATTTCACTTTGTGTTTTGATCCCACGCCTTGTAGAAGATAATGAAAGCCTACCAACAAAAGAGCCTGATTGGATCTAATTGAAACACACACACGGCACATGTGGAGTAATTGAACACAAAAGGAAGGAGGAGGGACTGAGTGATGAAACGCTGCAGCAACATCTCAGATATTTACAGACACTCTTTCAAATGCCACGTCTAGTGAGTCACTTCACTGTTTAGAGTGCTGTCGAAGAGGGGGGGGGGGGGGGGGTCATTTTGAGCTGTCGGTCAGTGTATCAGACTGTCTGTCTATTTCTGCTGCTGAGAGGTCAAAGGCACGACCCTCTTTAATGTCTAAAGGGGGGAAGGAACCGCAGGGGGTCTGGGCGAACACAGTGAGAAATAACAGACGCTTTCTGCTGGAGAGATTGAAACATCAAGAGTTTCTACCAATGACAGACAGGACCACCAGAGTGTGAATGTACAGTAAGTGTGTGTGTAAAAGGGTCATGAGGGGGTCACCAAGAATGGAAAAGCACAATATTTACAAGTGAGTATACTGTAGTGTCAATTTATGTGCATTTGATGGAGTTTATCACAATAGTATGCTCTGATTAATCATGATAACTCGCAAGACTCAAATACTAGTATGTATTTGTATTTTGGGGAGATTAAATAAATACATGTGGAGTTTTATTTTAATGATTTTCGAAAGGTTCATAGCTTAATTGTCGGCATAAACGTGTTAACAATGACAGGCCTAATACAAATGCATTCCTTTTAGACACTATACATGTAGTAAAAGGATTCTGTAAGCATCCCAAACAGATTGGGTTTTGGAAGCATTTTGGTTTCACTTTTGTATCCTACTAGTTTTAACCAATCAAATTTGGGCGGGCTTTGGCTGCATCCAGGTTAACGATCAATATTGGGAGCAAAATAAGTGAAATCATCATCCGGCTAACGTCTGACAATGATTTAGATATCTACAAAATCTGCTTGTCTTTCAACTGCAAGTCTATGTCAGTGGATCAAGTGTCTATTGAACAGTAACACTATAGTCACAACATGGAACAGCAAGTTCTTCATTTTTCATTTTTTACACATGTCAAAAAAACCGTGTCCAGTGATTTAAAGGGGACCTATCATGCAAAATGCACTTTTGTACGTCTTTTCTACATGAATATGTGTCCCCGGTGTTCCAGGGAACTCACCAAGTGTCAGAAAACACAACCCTCTCTATTTTCCTCCATACCCAAATCTCTAAAAAAGGGGCTGCAACGGATCTGATCAAAACTGATCCAGATTTGAACACTGTCCTGACGTCAGGACGGTGGCGCTACGGCTATTGGGCCAACTCCACCAATCAGGAGGAGACAGCCACGGCCATTGCCGTTCGAAAGCGCTGGAGACACTGTAGTACATATGCCAGGCCTGTAGATGGTGCTGTTCTGCCCTTATCTGCCCTTGCAAAAACAGAGCTAACATTTTTCAAATTGAGCGAAATGAGGCATGGCTAAAATGCATGATCTGTTTGGTATTTTGAAAAAAAAAAAGTATAAATATGCCTTATACTGTATGGGTATGGTCCTACACTATATTATTCAAATATAGCATGATAGGTCCACTTTAAGTGATTTCGCATTTTCCAGATGAACCGAAAGACATCATTTCTTTGTCTTCTTAATAATAAATACAAAAACGATTGGGAAAACATACAGTAAGTGCATTGTCACCAAGCTGTTAACAGGTGGGTTTAGCTCTTGAAAAGTTGACATTTTAGAGACAATGGTTTTAACAGAACAGCATCGATTTACTTTCGAGATAGGGACGTGTTAGCTATTGTGTTTTTACATTACATTACATATCATTTAGCTGACACTTTTGTCCAAAGAGACTTACAATAAGTGCCAAAGCCATAAAGATTCAAACTCCGAACAACAAGGAAAGTGCAGATATATCACTTCAAGCGAGATCATACCATCGTAAGTGCTGGTGTTTTGATGACTTCTTAAGGCTTCATGTGCTACAGGTTGGTAAACATCACGCAATGCAATGCTACTCACAGCATGTAAGCTCTGGAAACATACACTCGTTCCTGTTCCAAAGTGTAAAACAAAACCAGCACTCATAATTTGGGACTAAACTGAACTCTTTAGCTCCTGCTTTGTGATAAATCATCAGCTTATGGTTGATGTATAAAAGCATTCCTCCAGCACAGAGCTCTGCTGTGTGAGAGCAGCGTGATGTGGACCCTGATGGCTGAGAGGAGATTTACTCTCTGGGGTTTTCATCCTCTCACAATCCACGTTGATGCCCTAATGATTGCTTACGCTGCCATAGAGATGGAGAAACTGTCATGATACCAACGTGGTACATTCCTTTGGTGTGAAGTATGATAGTATGTCTTGGAAATACTAATACCAGCTTTTTAAATTGTTGGTACTGTGAATAATCGGAAAGCTACTCACAGAAGGTCGGGTGCTGCTTGAGCCAAATGCGTTTCCCAGGTTTAGAAATGAGAAATACAACCAGGAGATCAATTAAGAGTTCAATCAGACCCTTAAATTAAGTGTATTTCTTACCTTCTGCTGAGAGCCCCGTTACATTCACTCCTTTTGCGTCCAGGAAATTGAGACAGGCGTCCACATTCTCGATCTGTGGAGAGGACGAGAGACGGTCAGCACAAAGGACACACACACAAACACAGCAGGAGGAATGTGGCCATGCTTAACATTCAAAAAGTCTAAATGCCTCGAGGCGGGGGGGGGGGGGGGGGGGGGGGGGGGGTTCGGAGGATGGAGATGATCTGCATTATTACCCATAAAGCACATCATTGTGTGGTCATCACCCAACCCCTCCCCCCCTAAACTGCATGACATACTGACCGCAGTGTGCTGCCACCTCCACAGCCTCTGACAACACACACACACACACACACACAACACACACACACACACACACACACACACACACACACACACACACACACACACACACACACACACACACACACACACACACAACACACACACACACACACACACACACACACACACACACACACAACACACACACACATAAATATATACAGAGGCAAATAGATATTAATGTCAAATCCACGCGAATACCCATATAGGGTTCTGTAGAAATATTCATATACAATATATAAACATAAGCACACACACACACACACACACACACACACACACACACACAACACACACACACACACACACACACAATGACTCACATCAAAATGTATTTTTATTTTGGTCATCATCTCCTCTCTCTGTCTCGTAGAAAAAGTAGTGAGCAGAACACTCATTGCAAATAGAGGAAGAACCCTGACTTCACTATTTCCCAGCACCAATGTCGGGTCGTCACCACTGTAGCACTTAGATGGCGCACTTAGATGACATCACTACCTGTCTGCAAACACCCTGATCTTCCATCAGTCTCATGCACTCCACCACCTCGTTCCACATCCATCTCTTTACATCAGTCAGCCCTTCTCCCATTGGCCTTCCCACACCTCTTCCTCTCTCAACTGATGATGGCATTTGCTAGGAACCAGTTGGATCTTTTTTATATCTTCGAGCAGTTTGAGAAACAGGCAAGGGCCGGTATGAGATAAGATAAGAGGTACTATATTGATCCCAAATTGTGAAGTGTGCGTATCTCCTGTTTCACAGAGGTGTTTTGTATCATGCTTTTTCAACGTCACCCCGAGGATCCTCCTGCATCAACGCATTACAAAGGAGTCTACTCTCTTTTCAATATTTGTGTTGTATGTCCAGGTTTGGCATCTGTATTGTGCAATGGATGTACAGTCATCAGTGAGTGCATTTATTTGAGGTAACAGAAATGTTCCTGCTACTCCATATCTTATTTAGTTTTGCACGTTTCCAAGTCCGAGGTGCACTGCTTGTTCAACATAAACCCAAAGTATTCAAGATGGTCGACACAGTTTCCCGCCAATACAACCACTTCCTCCACTCAGAAGCAGCTCAAAGGCACCTCGAGGAGTTGATGAAGAGTCCCTTCCCTCTTTGTCACTTTCCCTCCTCAGACTGATGTGTTTACACTTGTTGAATCCACGGGGATCTCTGTGGGACAAGCAGTCCAACACGAGCGTCTCCATCTGCCCGACACTCTCACAGCAGGCATCAAACCCCCTCACATGTGGGCTGCCATACTTCCTACCCACACACACACCCACACACACACTCTGACACATGTGTGCTGGGTGCTAGCTTGTTTGATTATCTCTCGTAAAGTCTCTGAGGTTTGTGTGGAGAGACATGTGCTGAGCAGCGTTAGAGACCATCGTTAATGCAGCGATAATGAGACTCTGAGGAAATACACTTCCTGTACGCAAAGCAATAAGTAACTAAGTACATTTAATCAAGAACTGTTCTTCGGTACAATAACTTTGTACTACTACCCTACAGTATTCAAAGTCATTCAAACTAGCTGCACCTTTACCAGCTTTGAGAACACTTTCATGATCAATCATTATAAAACATATCATATATATTATTCTGAAATGGACCAATCTGCACAATGACTACTTTTACTGTAACAGAGTATTCCTACACTTTGGTACTTCTACTTTTACTCAAGTACAAGATCTGAGTACTTCTACTTTTACTCAAGTACAAGATCTGTGTACTTCTACTTTTACTCAAGAACAAGATCTGAGTACTTCTACTTTTACTCAAGTACCAGATCTGAGTACTTCTACTTTTACTCAAGTACCAGATCTGAGTACTTCTACTTTTACTCAAGCACAAGATCTGAGTACTTCTACTTTTACTTAAGTACAAGATATGAGTACTTCTACTTTTACTTAAGTACAAGATCTGAGTACTTCTACTTTTACTCAAGTACAAGATATGAGTACTTCTACTTTTACTCAAGTACCAGATCTGAGTACTTCTACTTTTACTCAAGTACCAGATCTGAGTACTTCTACTTTTACTCAAGCACAAGATCTGAGTACTTCTACTTTTACTTAAGTACAAGATATGAATACTTCTACTTTTACTTAAGTACAAGATCTGAGTACTTCTACTTTTACTCAAGTACAAGATATGAGTACTTCTACTTTTACTTAAGTACCAGATCTGAGTATTTCTACTTTTACTTAAGTACAAGATCTGAGTACTTCTACTTTTACTTAAGTACAAGATCTGAGTACTTCTACTTTTACTCAAGTACAAGATATGAGTACTTCTACTTTTACTTAAGTACCAGATCTGAGTACTTCTACTTTTACTCAAGCACAAGATCTGAGTACTTCAACTTTTACTCAAGTACAAGATATGAGTATTTCTACTTTTACTTAAGTACAAGATATGAGTACTTCTCCCACCACTGAATATATTTCCCTAAGCTACCTCTCAATAAGGCTCAATCAAATGTTGACCACACAAAGTTTGAAGAAGCCTTGAAGAAATGCGCTTCTGTTCCCCAGGCATTGTGTGTGTGTGTGTGTGTGTGTGTGTGTGTGTGTGTGTGTGTGTGTGTGTGTGTGTGTGTGTGTGTGTGTGTGTGTGTGTGTCCGTTTGAAGGCTGCTTTTATATGCTGATGAAGACAAGCAGGAGTGAGCTCATAAACACTCTGGAGACAGACTCCTCTCCTTTAAAGGACAGGCTTTACAGATGAACCTTCTTCCAAAGAGGCTTCACGAGATGTTCCAGCCATCAGCTCTGAGGCTTTCAGACCAGACCGCTGTTTGTTTTTACTCAGCCCTAACTCTAAAATGAGGCAAACAAGCGGGATAATGATTGAAGGCGTTGATGACGGCGGGTCCTCGTTTGGTGGCTTTGTGGCATCCTGCAACAGCTCCTCCAGAAACCAACATCATTTATTTTTCCAAACGCAGGCTGGCAGATCGACACAAGCCATTAAAAGCAATTTGGGAAAGGGCATTTTGATGAGGCACACTTCACCGGATCATGAAGAGCAGGGAAATGGAAACACATGTGGAGACCCGGTGCGGAAAGGAGACTTGTCACCAGGCTTTAAAGAATAATGAGGGGGAGCTGTAAAGTTGTGTTTGATAATCAGTTTCAATTAAGCTACGTTTCAATTACAGCTACTACAAATCTCAATATTACGTTTGAACTGACAGAGTGGAGAGAACTAGAAGTTGTACTTGTGGCTGGTGAAGCGAGGCAAAACCGCACTTAACCTTTCCTCCTAAAATCACAGAAAGTAGAGACTGAGGGTAAATGGATTTTGTGATGACCTTTGTCAAATTGCATTTCCAACGGTCACTAAGTAACCTTCTTATGACTACATTTGGATGAAGGCTCATACTTTTTTTTTGCTAGTTGCTTTACTTTACTTGCCACTTATCGAATGCACACCATGCACCTTCTGTTCAAAGATCTTATTAGTTAGCAGACACAATTCAATCTATACTTAAATAGGACGTATTCTGCTCATTTTCAGCTCTCATATCAGTATGTATTGTCTCTACTGTGACATGTTTCCATGCTTTAAAGGGCCCATGTCATGCTTTTCCGGTTATTACCCGTCCCCTTGTGTGTTATGAAGGTTTTTCTGCATGTAAACGGTCTGCAGAGTCACAAACCCTCAAAGTACACCCTGTAGCGAGTAAAACTCTAACACAGAAAGGGCCTGTCTATGCTGCCCCAGAACGCCTCGTTGGACATTTCTCTTTTTCCATTGTTTGCTTCCTGGGTTCTGTGACGTGTGAACACCCAGATCAACAACAAATGACCGGATTGGCCCAAATGGACCAATCCACGGAGCACCTCACACACCAGGATCCCTTGGCTAACTAACAGGGAGTCCCCATTGACTTGCATAGAGCTCCCTGAACGCTGGTAATAGACGAGTTGGGATGGTGGAGAAATGCTCTCCGCAGACCCATTCTCACAGCGTTATAAACCTTTTTCTTACTCAATATCAAGCCTCACTTATTGTTTTTACTTCGGCTGTGAGTGTTTGTGTGTGCTCAGGATGAGTTTCGCTTGTTCTCGCTGTATCGCAGACACGGAAACCTGTCCGCTCCTTGCAGCAACGAGCCTCGCAACGTCCCGACCAATCAGAGCACAGTGGGCTCACAGGGAGGGAGGGGCAGGAGCTCCAACAAGCCGTTTAGGACAGAGAGTGAATACACATACTATACAGAGATGCTGTATGAGAAACCAATGTGAGTTTGGAAAATTGCACAATTTAAATCTATTCTAGTAGACCTCAACAATGGAATTATGATCAGTAGAAGTGGCCATGTCATGGGACCTTTAAAGTTACAAAAAAAGAATGAGAAACACAGGGATGTTAGCCTTTGCAGACCATTAGCATGCACTATAACCCCCAAAGACTCTTTAAACTCGCCTTTAATGAATTTTCTGTAAATGACTTTTGTGCATTCCTTTAGAGCAGTAGGTGCAAATGGACCTTTTGTTGTTCTTCCAACAAGATACACACACTTTATTTCAGCTTTAATTTGCTTCTGCACTCCATCTTTTAAAGTCTTCTTCATCTTGTCTTTTCTATCACATTGGAAATGTTAACTCCGTCTTTCATTCTTTTCTTTAAAGCCCACATTGAAAGGTCCCATGTAGGCGTAAAAACATGACTCATCTTTTTCTCTATGAGAGATTACTGTTTGTACCTT